GTCCACTCCAGAGGATGGGAGGGGGTCCCTCAGTGTCCTTGTGGGTTTGGGGGTGTTTGGGGTGTGTGTCAGTGTGTCCCCCTGGCTGCTCCAGGGGGTGGGAGGGGGTCCCTCAGCCTCCCTGTGGGTCTGGGGGGGGTGCATGTGTGTGTCCCTGTCCTCTCCAGGGGACTGGAGGGGATCCCTTGGTGTCCATGTGGGTCTGGGGGTGTGTGGGGTGTCCCCCCTGTCCTCTCCAGGAGGTGGGAAGGGGTCCCTTGATGTCCCCAGAAGGTCTCTTGGTCTCCCTGTGGGTCTGGGGGTGTGTGGGGTGTCCCCCCTGTCCTCTCCAGGAGGTGGGAAGGGGTCCCTTGATGTCCCCAGAAGGTCTCTTGGTCTCCCTGTGGGTCTGGGGGTGTGTGGGGTGTCCCCCCTGTCCTCTCCAGGAGGTGGGAAGGGGTCCCTTGATGTCCCCAGAAGGTCTCTTGGTCTCCCTGTGGGTCTGGGGGTGTGTGGGGTGTCCCCCCTGTCCTCTCCAGGAGGTGGGAAGGGGTCCCTTGATGTCCCCAGAAGGTCTCTTGGTCTCCCTGTGGGTCTGGGGGTGTGTGGGGTGTCCCCCCTGTCCTCTCCAGGGGACTGGAGGGGGTCCCTCAGTGTCCTTGTGGGTTTGGGGGTGTGTGGGGTGTGTGTCAGGGTGTCCCCCCTGTCCGCTCCAGGGGACAGGAGGGGGTTCCTCAGCCTCCCCAGAGGGTCCCTTGCCCTCTTCAGAGGGTCCCTCAGCCTCCCTCTGGGTCTGGGGGTGTGGGGGGTGTCCCCCTGTCCTCTCCAGGAGATGGGAGAGGGTCCCTTGTCCTCTTCAGAGGGTCTCTTGGTGTCCCTGTGGGTCTGGGGGTGTGTGTCAGGATGTCCCCCCCATCCTCTCCAGGGGATGGGATGGGGTCCCTCAGCCTCCCTGTGGGTCTGGGGGTGTGTGGGGTGTCCCCCTGTCCCCTCCAGGGGATGGGAAGGGGTCCCTTGTCCTCCCCAGAGGATCCCTTGGTGTCCTTGTGGGTCTGGGGGTGTGTGGGGTGTGTGGCAGGGTGTCCCCCTGTCCTCTCCAGGGGAT